TTAATTTCATATTTACAACGATTCACTTAAAATTAAAATTAAAAAGAAAAAACTTTGGCCAAATGAAAGCCAAATGAAATTGAAGAAATTCTTTATTCAATAGTTCTTTATTTTATAACTCTATTTGGAATCTCTTCGGTTCAAAACCCAGTCTGAAATACAAATGAATCAATTATTTTATTTCGTAAAATATTAACGTTTCATTCGTAATGTTGATAAATAAAACTTACAATTACGGATCAAGGCACTTCATTAAAATACTTGTGTTTCAGAATATCTGCTTCTAGAGGACGTCTGTATGGGTCCTGAAATCATCAAAAACAAACAATAATTAATTCAAATTTAATATTCCAATAAATATAATTTCGTCTATGTGTTATTTCGGTTAAGAAACGTCATTAAAATAATAAAAAACACATCAATTAATTCTCTATCTAATCGTCATTAAAAATGTGCTTATTTAATGATAAGAAACAAATTTTCAACATTTGAGTAATTATAATATAATATAATGAATGTTATCAATTAAACGAATGGTTTTATTCGAACACATGAAGTTATACTCCTGACTTAAATATATATTTTAAATCTTCTGATATATAATTTTCTATTAAATATATATCATTAATTCGTTGCATATAGCAACATAAAAATTCAATGTGTCTATTTAATGCTTCGGTACGTAAATAAATGTCATTCCGTGCATACAACAGGGTGACGAATCTGAACTTTTAACTAGAGTTAATGATGAAATTACCTTTTGCAATAAATCGTTAATAAAATGTTTGGCATCATCCGATAATGTAGCAGGATAGGACACCGGCACATTTACAGCAGCTACAGCAACTACAAACACATTTTGAAATTAATTATCTTGTATTGTTATTGTTATTATTATTAAATTAACAAGTTTGATACTTTACCTCTTATCCAGTAGTAACGGGGCAATAAATACACATTATCAATATTAAATGCTTCTTTTACATAAATTTGCAGAGGTGTTGTTCCAACCAACGCTTGAAATAATACGATGGCGAACGCCCACCAGTCACAATAGGAATCTACAAACAATACATTAATTAATTAATACATCGAAGAATACGAGAAAAGCAATTGTGAAAATACAAGTCCTGTCTTTACCATAAGGCTTCCTCTGTAGAATTTCCGGACAAAGAAATGATAAAGTTCCACAAAACTTTGTTGGGTTTCGTTCGTACTGAAAAATGTAATAATAACATAGTTAATAGATCATAATAAATGTGCTGTTCGAGAATATTACAATGTATATTTTATATACAATACTTACTGTGGACAGACCGAAATCAATTACTTGTGCACCTTTGTACACATCTAACATAATGTTGTTAGCACTGATGTCTCTGTGTATAATTCCTATTTAAAATCGAAACATTACTTTGTAACTCATAGAATAAATAAGCAGATAAATGTACAGCAAATAATTACCATTCTTATGAATATACATAATAGCAGAGGCCACTTGAGCGGCAAACACTTTCGCTTTACTCTCCGCTATAGGACCATACTTTTGTAAAAAAATTCTCAAAGATTCTCCCTCGACATAATCCGATACAAAGCAAAAGCTAACAAATAAAAGTTATTACGTCACGGAACAGAAATTATAAATAAGTAAAAAGAGAAAAACTTACCTTGTGTCAGTTTGGAAGAATCGAATCAACCTGACAATATTTGGATGGGCGGACACAGAATTCCAAACGTTTAATTCCGTCTGGATTTCTTCAAACTATAAGTAGATAAATGATTAATACATACGAAATATAAATTTTAAATATTTTCAAAATATAACTAATGTAAATTAATAAAACACTGATTACTTTTATTCTCAAAATACTGTTAAGAAAATGATTATGCTTTTAATATGTATATTGTATTATTGATTAGTTTGTATATTCGGGAAATTGTTGTTCATTCACATAAAAGACAGAATATTGAAAACTGTTGCTATAGAATACCTGATCAGAATTAGAAAATTTTTTCTTTACAATTTTTACAGCCTTTTCCTTTTCGGAAAATTTCGTCCTAGCCAAATAAACAGTCCCAAATCTTCCTCGTGCAATTTCTTTAGTAATTTTGTATTTGTCAATAAACTTTTTGGGTTCATTAACAAAGTCGAATTCGAGGTTCAAATCTGCGAGATTCTTTTTCGGTTCGTAAGTCTACAAAATCACAGAAATTATTTTTCATTAAATTTTGCTAATGTAAAGATGAGAGAAAAAATAAAAATTTACCTCCGAATCAGAAATCTCGCCTGAAACGCAACAACATAACAAGAATTTATGGAATATATTTCTTAAATATCCCATAAATTTTCCGTCCTTCTTCCGGTTATTTGCTTGCAACTGCGACTCGCCTTTGTTCAACGAGTCACATTTCATTGCAGGCAAATGTTTCTCATTCTAGAAAAGATCGAGATAAAAATTATCGGTGATTGTAACGTTTTTGGAAAGAATATTTTGAAACTAATCAAGAAAATCTCCGTTAGCTTAATTCAAGCAACAAATAATTTCCATTATTTTACACAGAAATCAACGGTTTACCTGAAATGAGTAACCATTATTTTCCTGAACATTCTGTTCAGCATCTTCTCTTCTACTACAAAGAAAATCAATTAATATTCACTTAATATTAAAGAATTCGTATAAATAAACACAATTTCTAATTAAATTTACCTTTTCTTCATCATTTTATCTTTCGAACTTCGCAGAACAATCTTTCCAACGCAGCGAAACATTTTTCTCAACAATCGAAACTCGACAATTCTATTCAAAAGTATTGTTGAAAAATTTATTGTGATGACGACATACAGTGTCATATTAATAATTTCTTTAAAATTCTTTCCGTTTTATAGGCTCTGAGAAGTCCTTTTTAAAAAGCTCATCTTGGGTCGGGCTAGACGTGCAATGGAGAGGCGAAGTAATTGGAGACGGGACCATTATGCAGGACAGGCCATTTTCTATAAATGTTGGAAGTTTTTAGTCCGATTTGCAATTGTATTAACCCCGACTTTAACTGAGCTGCTGTTGCCTTAAATGCTCGATCAATCCGCCTGTCAAATTTTACTATTAAATACTGCCATTTTAAAGTGTTTATAACTTTCAGTGACTTTTCGTTTACTAAAACATACTCGTGGTTTTAATTATATCTTTTTGTTGGTTTAATTTTATACATGTAGACATTATACATATTAGATAATAATTTTTGTGAGTTGATATAATCATTTAAAAATCTACTCGAAAAATATTCCGTTCTCCAGATTAATGAAAGCTCAGACAAACAGATAACAGTGGAAATGTATAGGCCTGTAATTTTAAAATTGTAACCAAATTAAACTTAGCACATCGAAGTGGATTTTTGTTCGTGTAGATTTTTAAATGTGTATTATAGGCAAATAAAACATTGTGTTGTTTATGTTTAATACAGCACGCTGCGACGGAAAATATACTATAAATTTCATAACTTTTATTGTCAACCGTTCACAGTCGAAGTTACTTCTCGATGTATAATACAGAATACGTAAACGAGAAAAAGAAAATGTGTTATAGTGTGTTTTCTCCATGTCTTTCTTCACGATAAATTCACCTCTAAATCTAAATGTACATTTAGTGTATTACTATAAAAGAATAAAACTGCATCATTTCAAATTATAATTATTCATTGTAATTGTTATCAGAGAGGTTGCGGCCGAAGTATTCACCTGTCAAACGTGAACGTCGAACGTCGAGCGCCGCTTACAAGATAGCAGCGCTCGACGTTCATTATTCATTGTAATTGTTATTAGCCCGTCCGAGCAAGGCGCGAACCCACTATCGACCTCCCAATGTTCAGGGAACGGAGATCGCTTGGCAACTGGTGGCCTAAAAGGCTTTCGTTAGACTTTTCATAATTTTTCCCCGACACAGCCTAATGTATTTTACACAAAATAATAAAGTGGTAAGTGATTTATCCGTTACGAAAGGAGTAAACTTTTTAGTACACTGGGGGCCAATAGCGGATGTAGAAATTTTCACAGGAATTGTAGAAAGGAAACAATATTACTTACAAATATTTACAATTCAAGTACAGCNGCACTTAATGCCTCTCTCCTCTCTCTACTGGCAAATTGATTAAAAATTATAATTATTAAAGTTATTAAGTCATGGTACTTAATGCCTCTCTCCTATCTCTACTGGAAAATTTGTTGCATAATTTATTTAATAACAATAGCCGTGTCTAGCCCGATAGAATTCGGCATTGGTTGGTATCTAGCTTTATGTATATCGGATTTAGCGATGTTATTTGTTTAGATATATACACGTTATTACATTCATTCACAACGACAAGAAAATATAGAACTTCTATTTCTATTTACCTTAATCTAGAATATTTTGCTGACATATTCTGCTAAAGACCTATCCTTTAAACTCATACAGTATTATCTACTTAATTGAATTTCATGGCAATTGTCAAATCTAAAAATACTTCAGACAATTAGAAGTTAGTTTTTTATAACCCAGTAACTGAATCATTAAAACAAACTGTTGCACTTTCTTATTCATATATTCTAATTTTTCATGGGTAATTCCATGAANAAACAATATTACTTACAAATATTTACAATTCAAGTACAGCTTTACTCAGGTAAGGTTTTATATGATTAAGCATGAACACTCTATTAAATTAGCTTTTTCTGTGGACCAAGAGTAGAAGAGGATTTTGAAGCAAAGCATTATAGCGCATGCCAATTAAAACATTGAAAAATCAAACAACACAAACGTTATTCGAGTTTATTGTTAACAGAACTCTGGTACTGCGCTATTCAAGTTGTACTCATTAAACTTCAATACAGTTTTATCGGATAAAGAATAATTGCGTAGACAAGTCATTTTTCAGCTGCAGCATAGTTGATGATGGCAGAATGAACAAACAGAAAGATAAAAATTTGACAAGACAAAAAATATAGTAGAAATAAAAAAATTATTTTGAGATTAAATATTACTACATATCTGGACTGCTGTATGTTACTATGTATATAATTCGTCNCATGGCAATTGTCAAATCTAAAAATACTTCAGACAATTAGAAGTTAGTTTTTTATAACCCAGTAACTGAATCATTAAAACAAACTGTTGCACTTTCTTATTCATATATTCTAATTTTTCATGGGTAATTCCATGAAATAGTCATTTCTAGGATTCTTTCTACTGTTTTCCCATAGAAAAGGTCTAATATTTATGTATTGATTTTTATAAAAAGATTAAAAACTGATAGAAGTAATAATAAGAACTAACACAAAAAATTATTAATTATTTAAGCACCGAGAATGAGGATTCTTTTGATTTTTCAAATACAAAACTATCNTATAGTAGAAATAAAAAAATTATTTTGAGATTAAAGATAATAGTTTCACTTTTTAGACTATAAAAAAATGAAAGTTGGATAATGGTTAAACAATTTTTATCCTTTATTCCTGGCCACAGACAATTGAAAAAATATGCATTAGTATGAATTGAACGTCATCTGTTTTCAGAGTTTTTGGAAAGGTGTTTTAAGAAGAAAAACGTGCTTTCCTATAGCGAAAGCGTTAAACATCTAAAACGAAGTCCAAATTTCTTTCTGATAGGATAAACTTCAACGTGCAGTAGACTAGAAGATATAAACAGTAAGTTTTCTTCNTTAAAAACTGATAGAAGTAATAATAAGAACTAACACAAAAAATTATTAATTATTTAAGCACCGAGAATGAGGATTCTTTTGATTTTTCAAATACAAAACTATCATTTCTCTGTGAACAGATAATTTTTTTTAGTTCGAAACAACTAAGATACAGTTCTAAGACTAATATGTGCTTCCGCGTTATTTTTTCATTCTACAACTTCATATAGGCTCATCAGACATAGTAATGTTTTGACATTACCACATACATCCTATTTGAGGAGTTTTACTTGTTGCATTACTAATTATAGTAATCCAAATACTGAACATATTACATATCTTAAAGAAAAAGTTCAATGACTTAACTGAAAAGATAAAATAATTATACTACAATTAGATGAAATACATGTAAATCCCGAGTCATTAACTCAATAAAATTTCTAACCAAGGTAAATCTATTAGGCCTACTAAGTACGAAATAAAATGCAACACTTTAATTGACTACAGGATAATACACATTTAACTTTTAGAAAAGTACCTTTCCTGTTGGGTATGTGAAATTTACGCGACAATTTTAACTGTACTACAAATTTGCAATTTCGTATAATATACTTGCATAATGGTTTTTATGAAATACAATTCTTAAACGTTAAATTAGTATTTATATTTTATTTGCATATACAATTAAATCAAATAGTACACGTGAAAAATTTTTGAAAAAGTATTCTTAATAATTTTCTTCATATTTTTCAAAAAGTAATCTAATTCTCAAAAGAACAATCTAACGTCACAATATATTGGAAAAAGGTCAGGTTTTAAATATATATTTTCTTCCGTGGGAGGAATTGCAATGACGTCATGAATTGGAGTGAAACGATCTGCAGATGGTTTGATTTCTATTTTGTTTCTTGAAATTATTTCCTTTTTGGCAAATCTAACGATAAGGTGAAACGTTGTAAACTTTTTAATATAAAGTCCAACGTTTAACTTGACACATCCGTTCATTTGGCATGTAAGAAATTTTCTTTCGTTTAAATGTCTGCCATTCATCGAAAAATATAAACTTGCTTCTATTCCACGTCGTTTATTATGTGTTATTGGTAGACGAATGCTTGTCATAAAACACTTTTCGTGAACAAATATTCCTGATATAAATTGTATATTTTTAGTCACGAATCTTTGTATTTTAATGACGGGCGAGTATCGATTGCAGTAAGTGAATAATAACGGATATTGATAAGAAGTCCTGGTTTTAATGGACTTGGAAATATTGTCAGGGACACACGACAAATTTTCAGTTACGAAAAACAGCCTTATTGCTTCCAGTTCTTTTTCAGTTAAGACGAGTGAAAAATCATCGGACTCAAAGATTTCATTTTCCATTGTCAAAAATCTGATTTTTGATAAGAAAGGTTCCATGAGTTGTCTTAGAGATTTCTTTTCACTAAGTTTGTTCATGGCCCATTTGTAGGTGATATCGAAGATACTCTTTTCATCTAAATGTTTATTAATTGGGCGAGATACGAGTGTATTTATTGTTGCTTCTTTGCAATTCAAGTACATGTTTGTACAAAATATTTGATCGTACTTCGCATCGAACTTCCTCCAACAAGTATACAACAGTCTGTAGTCGTCGATTTCGGAAGCAAAGTCGTGTACGGAACACACATTTTCTGTTCGTAGCATATCAGTAATACGAATGTGACAAAATTTATTTACACCAATAATACGTAACGTCTTGTTACTTCTTAAAATATCCATTGATGTTTTTAAAGATGGGAACATTGATACGTTACTCTCCAACAGTCTAAATGTAATGGAAATACGATTGTCACGATATAATTACAGTATTTAAAATAAACTGTAGCAATATTAAAAGTTTAAAATATATTTCGTCGTGGATNTCGAAAACGTAAGAAATATCAATAAATCGGTAAACAAATTCAGCCATACTTCACAGTTCTAAGTTCATGTATTGAAATTCCTGCTACGGTAAATGTTTAGTATTTAGTATTTATACCTATAAATTGTTACTGCAGTTTTTCTGATTGTCTGACTATTCTTCATTAATCCCGAGAACGGAGTTAGATAGATAAAAAT